GACGCATCTAAACGCGTTCATTTCTAACGCGTTTCTACCACAAAAATGGTGCAAAACCGACGCGTTCAAACGCGTTAGGAACTAACGCACATAACGCGTTTTTGTAGCAGAAAATGACGCCATGGGTAACAGAAGATATTTTAGAGAAAGAAAAGTTAAGAATCGAATTACAAGTTGTACGCTGACGTAGAAAAACACAGCACGTGTATCAAGTTCTATAAGAAAATCAAATCAAGAAATAAAAATGAAGTTTAATGAAAGCCCTTAATTAATTTCTCTTTATGAATAATGAGAGACCTAATGCAAGTTTATAGACATGCAAAGGTAGCGTATAACATCTTAGAATGCATACTCACAAGCAGGACGAATCGCTCTACTCCCAAAACCAGATATTTATTAACGCCTGCTTAACTTAAGTTTTGGAGGGGTCTTTAAGTCTACGCTAATGAGTTTTTTCTATACAATCCCGTGGAAATAAACTCAAATTATAGAGTCACTATAGTCAGCAAACTTTCCTTCGCTTGTTATTTCTTTGCAAATAAGGTAAGCCACACTATTTATTTTCCGCTTCTAAATCAAAATCATGATGCGGCACAAAAAATAGATTAAAATTCGATAGCCAAATCATCTAAGACAACATGTGTTGCACTGTGACTCGTAAACGCTGGATGTGGTTTTCCACCTGAGCTGTTAAACAGCAAATGATTTATTCCTTCCCAATCATCGAATTCCACAAAAGTTTTCTCAGTTGCTTGAATTACCACTGTCTTGATGTATTTCTGGTTGAGAAGACCAAAACTCAAGGAACCAGTGATGGCTAATGTTAAATTATCATTCCAAGCAGCTGTTGCCCAAAGCGACTTCAGTGTAAACAACCGCTCAGATGTTATGGTCATCGACTGACGATCGTATGTCATTCCAACAAATTGCCCGGAAACGAGTCCATTGCGATAGCCAGACTTTGTGCTGTTAATAACATTTGTAACGCCGGCCCCCGACCATGTCAGATTTTTATAGCCATTCGGAATTGACACTGAGTTACTCGTTTCAACGAAAATATCGTCAAATGTTATCACAGTGACGTCTTAAAAGCGAAAACGAAACACTCTACCAACCAAATTAAAAAAGATTATGCATACGCTTTCAGAATTTTGTTTCAAAGCGAACGATTTTCGGTTTTCACAAAAGTCTTTTATCTTGGTAAAATTCCAGCTAAATGTTGCTATATGACGGCGTCTTCGAAGCAAAGATACAAAAGCTTTTGAGTAGTAGAGATGTAAACTCTCTCATAGTGACCTAACAGCTCGAATGAAAACCAATCATGATGTGACAACTACCAGGAAGGAATAGACTCGATCTTTTCGAACCTCCGTTTTCTGAAAACCTGTCTCTTTTTTGTGTGAATGCATGAACCTTTGGATTTTGTTGAGTAAACGTTGCCGAATTCTTCAATACGCTATAAGGAATATTTTGGAACAAGAAGATTTTCTAGTTTGTGGAACCATAAAAACAGCGTTTATGGAATCCTTTGATTATTCTCAAGTCTAGCTTTTGTAAACAAGGCCAGAAACATTGTATACAGGTCTAAAAAGCTATCAAAAACCTTTTAAAAAGTTCTCAACCCATTTCAGACTGCAAAAAGCTTCATTGCTGGTTCTGAATAAAGCTAAGTGACCCAATAGGCTTCTCAGTCTTACTACGTACGTTTTGGTTGACATTTGCCTATGTTTTTCTTATTAAATATCGAATCCGATTTCTGGAAGCATTCGGCCATTGCTTTATCACATCCACATATGCTTAGACTCGGTTTTTCCTTATTAATACACGAAACCTTTCCGTCGTCAAACTGTGTTACATACGGTACCCAATCGATGCTTTCACAGGTAGACGAGTATTTGGAGATAATATCTGAATAACATTCCGAGTGAATTTTACAACATAAATCAATCTGATCCACAAAAGCAGTGTGTGAATCGGGAAATCTATCAGCGCCACACCTACAGAGAAAAACGAAAACTATGATACTAGATTTCTCTCACCCTACTGAACAAAAATATAGTTTAGCTTTTTAATATAAAGAACTTTATTAGCATCGAATGTTTGAAAACCTAAAAGATAACACCCATCGAAGGCTTGTTTTTAGAGCAGCCTGAAGAAGAAAGTTCATAGTTAATAGTATTTCTTATGTACGTTAAATCTAATTCAACCCAGAACTCACCATATGGGGCAACAGATGGATTCTCAATCAAAACAAGCATGGAGTCTAAGTTTGTGTTTTTAACTTTTCTCGATAAGACAAAAGAATTTTTTCGAAAAAGAGCTCGTTTACTTGTCTCCCTCAGAATTATTATTACAAATTCTTTCTGGGTGGCACTCTATGTTTTCTGGAAACTTAGGTTTCGTTTTTCTAGCAGATAACTTTTAGATGTGCTGCTGAAATTCACTTACCAACATCCATAATTTTCATAATCCGATGGCGATCGTCCAGTCTTGTAATAGATTAGTGAACCAAGTTGCAGACTATTTTTACGAGCTGCGGCTACAATAACCAGGGTACATACGAAAATAATCGCTCTCACAGCGGTTGACATTCTTCTTTATTATTGAAGTTCTTTTCAGTTTGTGACTGCCACAAATAAAAATAATTTTTAAGAACAAAAAAAGTAATGATATTTTAATACTTTTCGTCCTTGAAGTTAAGTCTTATTCTGGTTGGAATAATTAAAACTACCTGCAAAAAAAACCTTTTTAGCTTGTATTAAAAAATTGTAGAAAAACGCTTTTTTTATAGCCTACCCTGCAATAACTGTCTTATCATGGACCTTCGCTATACTGAGATTTAATCAAAAATCATCGAAAAACCATCGCACAAGTGCCCTAGCAGATTAGTTCCACCTGACTCTAGATTAAAAAGCTCTTCTATAACGTCAGGGAGCATTTCAAAATTCTTGCCGTTCTGCCATCGCATTTGCCAAGAGTAAGCAGAAATTTTAAAATGCTCGTTTCTTAGCAACCAAGCAATATTTTTTTCAAAAGGAAAACGCCATTTTACTCAGAATTGTTTATTTAGTTTGTTATGACTGGTTCGAACAAGTTCTCTGAGATACGTTTGAGCAGTGTCTGTCGTCGCTTACGTTAATAGAAAAAAACTAGAAAAAGAATGCACAGGAATCTCAGTTAGCTTAAAACTCCTCTTTTTTACTTGTTTCTTTTGAACCTGAAAGATGACCTTTAGAATGCATAGAGATTTTTTAAATTCTCAAAGCTCAACCAAATAAAGTGAAACTACAGCAGCTTTGTACAAGGTAACCTAACAGTGCAACTTAGAGAAAGTAAAATTTGAGCAATG